CTGGCGGCCTCTAGGTTGTCCCTGAGGTACAAGAGGCACCTCATCATCTCCGACATCATCTACCTCCTCCTTCGCAATCACATTTCTAAGAGGGTCATTAGCGTTGTTTGCTGCTATTTGGTACCCGAAGTTGTGACACACACGAATTAGTAACAAAGAAAGAAAGAAGAACAATACACAAAACTATTTAGATAGATAGCCAAAACTGTTAGCTCCCCGGCAGCGGCGCCAAAACGTTGATCGAAGCCAACCCTACACTATATTGAGTGGCGAGAGAGGTCGAAACAGCTTTTACCCGATTAAGGTCGGGATCGATTTCCATAGGGAGCTAGAAGTTGGAGTCGGGTGTCTATCTAAAGCGGAGTTGTGTAATTGCTACAAATTACACCTCTCAACATTTTTGGGTTTTGATTTACTTCTAATTATATAAAACTACAATGCTCAATTAAACTAAAATAAGCTAAAGTTAAACTATTGCGAGTTGTTTAAATGGTTAAAAGGCAATAGGGTAGTGACTTTTGCCTAAGTGGTCAATTGATGGATACTTGAGTCTAAGACATGATTTTCTCATTTGAGGAGTATGATATAACCATTGCGCGATTCTACTCACTCTACACCTCTCGGTAGTTCGAGTAATTTTGCCCAAATTGACTTTCTCAAGACCAATTGGGTATGCAAATTTGCACAAGCAATCAAGGTTCAAGTCGGGTATTACTATCTCTAGGTTTAACCCTTTAATTGGGGCTATAAATCTCTTGAGTACGCCCCAACTCCTTGTTGGACCAATTTCAGAGACTTAGACTCTCTTTCTCAAGAAGAGCCAAAGTCAACTAAACACAAATTAGTATTTGCAACCACTAATTCAGCAATTAAACATGAAATTAGTTCAAATATCAAACACACATAGCCAATCAAGCCCTAAAATACAAGACCCATCAATTATCCACACTAGGGTTGAGCCACAACCCTAGCTTATGGGTCTAGCTACTCATAATTGAAGAAGAAAACAAAGAAATAGATGAAGAAAAATTAATATTAATTAATTGCTAAATTAAACTAGAAGATTCAATGTTGGAATGAAGCTAAAATTACTCAAAACAACTAAAAATATCGAAGTCACGAGCGCAACCTTCAGTACAAACTATTTGATGAACTAAAAATGGGAAAAGAAGCTATTTATACCAAGCTGAAAAATCTAGACAAAAATACCCCTGCGGGGTTAGTGCGGACTGCACAAAATCACGTGCGGCTGCACTAGGCCTCTGGACTTGAATAAGCAACTCTCTGAACTTGGGCAATGCGGATCGCATAGAATCGAGTGCGGCCGCGATGGCCTCTAGTGCGGTCCGTATAAAATGGAGCGCGGACCGTATTAGGCTTCAAACTTGGAACTGGCAACTCTCTGCACCTTCTCTCTGCGGACCGCACTAAATTGAGTGCGGCCGCATTGATCCCAGTGCGGACCGCACAAAACCTCATGTGTCTGCATTGCCTTTTTTGCCTGAATAGCAGCCTCTCTGAACCTCACTTGTCCGGACCGCACAGAATGGTGTGCGGACGCACGGGCCCTGTTTTGCCTGAGCTTGTCTTATCTTGGTACTTGTGTAGGTTTCACTCCTTTTTGAGCTGATCTTTGACATTTTGTCACCTTGTTGATCAAACCTGTAATCAAGCACAACTTGTAGGCCTTTTGGGACTATTTGTACACATTTCTAATCATAACTTAAGCATGAAGGAGTATAAAATGTATCAAAATCCCTAGTTATCAACTACCCCCCCCCCCC